TGATAATAAATAAATTAAAGCAACAAAACAACCTTAAGAGCCGCTTGGGAGCCGAAAGAGCCGGTTCTTTTTAATGAGTTGAGCCAAAAGAGCCGGTTCTCTAAAAAGAGATGGAATTCCCATCACTAGTCCACACATGCATATACACACACTCAGAAAACTTTTTTTTTTTTTAAAGAAGGTTTGAACTTTGAGAGTGTTTAAACGAGAGAAATGTGTGAAACTGTTCATGCCTGTCTGAGAAAAGTGTATAAAGTGTGTAGTGACGAGTTTTACAGCCTTAAAACATCTAAAATAATTGTAAAAAAAAAAGCTGGCTACTTTGCAGATTTCACCTATTACTGGTTATTTTTAGAACATAACACCCACGATAAACGAAGGAACTCTATATACAAATACTGAGAAATTTCAACCCTTTCTCTCTTTTGCTCTGAGGCGCGAGGGAAAAATATCAACAAGTCGATGAACGTCATCTACAGATATATTTGGTAAATGCCCAAGATATCTTGAGAAATGTAAATTGCCACTTGATTCGTCCATTTGGTTGACTTTTTTGGAAAATCCGACCGTAAAGAAGACGCGAATATCACAGGAGTTTCCCCACTGGAAGTAGCATATGCTAAGGTGCACATAGGCCCTTTCTCAATTCTAAGTGCGCGAGTACGTACTCGCGTTCTCGGCGAGACCGGACTTGCCGAGAACGCGAGCACGGACTTTGTAGAACTGGAACACCAGCGTACTTGATGATGTCACAGGTCCGGAGTTTTTACTGCCGTCCCCTCTTAATTAGACTTATATATCATGTTTAACCTCAGTAGCAAAATGTCTATTAATAAAAATAGTGTACATGTATGCCTTAATAAAAACAAGCAGGTGAGATGTTAGAACGCTTTCATTTTTATTTTAGTGGACACTCAATACAATAGACAGCTGCTGGGGTTTGGGGTTTGTTTAACCTGAGTAGCGAAAAGACCGCGGGGGGGTTGAAAACGATGTGCCGGGAGTCCACTGTTCTCGCCGGCTCTAGTGATCCTCGACCTTGCTGTCTGCTATGGAGCTGGTGAGTCACAGACGTCTCCGAAAACGTCAGAGCACGTTTGGAAATATATGATATCTTGATAAATCGAGCAGATATTAGAAGTTTACACAGCTACATTCTTGCTTGAAAATAACTTAAAAGTTTATTTTGTGACCCAGAAAGAGTAATATTTAAAAGTTTTTAGCCGCGCTCATCCGCCGTTGCCGCGTTTGAGTTTTGGACGAAATGCATTCTGGGATATTTAGCTGTACCAAGTCCACACAAGTCACCACCGATCAGTGTTGCCAACTTAGCGACTTTGTCGCTATATTTAGCGAGTTTTCAGACACCCTTAGCGACCTTTTTTCTAAAAAGCGACTAGCGACAAATCTGGCGACTTTTTCTGGTGTTATTGGAGACTTATTTAAGACGACTTTTTGACGTGAAAGCGCATATCGCTCTTACTCTCAACAAGCAGCGGCTGCTGCCGTGGGCACCTCACCCGTTCACGGGCTCGCTCACGGGCGGAAGATAGTCCTCCCCCAGCTGCTATCAGGGCAGAAGATGTTCACACCTATGCGTCCGAACTGGAAATGAATCGCACATGAGCGAAGCCGCTGCTCC